TTCCTTAGAATGTCTGATCAATCATCATCACCATCATCTGGGATTTTAGAATTCAAACAGACAAACACCTGCCACAACACCAAGACTTAACCATTGTTGATAAAGAAAGACGAAAAAGTCTGGATAGTAGACATGGCAATACCTGGAGACAGCAGAATAGATGAGAAAGAACTGGAGAAAATCACCAAATACAAAGACCTGCAAATAGAAGTAGAACGACTGTGGCAAAAGAAAGCAAAGATAGTACCAATAGTAACAGGTGCCTTGCGTGCAAACCCAAAACATCTGGAGCACCACTTGAAGACCATCGGCATTGACAAAATCACCATCAGTCAACTGCAAAAGGCAGCTTTGCTTGGAACAGCTGACCTCCTGCGACGATACCTTCAACGCCATCAGACAACATCTGCCTATTCCAGGTCCTTGGGAAGGACTCGATAGGTGGATAAACCAGTCTAAACATCTGGCTGACTGTGCCACCACCACCACCACCAATGATGATGATGATGATGAAGAAGATGATGATGATAATAATAATAATACAACAACTGGGTAAGAATCACAAAAAAGAACTAGAGAATACTTCAAGTTGCATGATTTCCAGCAGAAGTTATATTTACAGATAACAAACCACAACTAATTTACTATTTAAGTTGATTCCAGCAAAGGACTTTGTCTACAATACAGACAAGTTAAAAGTTGGGTGTCACTCCGTAGTGAAAGTTTCCATCTCAGTTTGCTTGCTTGTTTGTTTATTAAACATATTCCTATGCCATCGCTACCTGGCAGCTTGTAGTAAATGCAGTATAAAGCATGCACAATACTGTGAGAAAAATGAACACAGCACTAACAACACAACAGCGATACCATAATACATTGAAAAAAGATGGAAGGGGATAAGAATATCCAACTCCTCCTCCTGTTTCTTGGAGAAAAGGGCAGTCGCATCTCACCAAGGGAGTGTGTTCCCTTCCCAGTCAAGAAAGGCTCCATTTGAGGCTGCTGATAAATTGGCAAGCACATTGAGGATGCCTCGCACACTGTCCTGCACAGTCACAGGGGCCTATGAGAGAAAGAAAGGCAGGGTGTTTATCCTCAGGGAAAAAAGCTTGAACACTGTCCTCTCGTCCATTCATAAGAGGAGCCCTCTCTGGCTAAAATAACAGCAACAGAAGGGTGGCTGCTACAGGCACTGCATAGTATGTCAGGTAGCCCCACCATGAGAAGACTTGATGACAGGATAGGTTCCAGGTTTTTAAGGAATGAAGAGATTTAAAGCCCCTATTTTTGCATCTTGGCCGCCCCCTCTCCAGCATTCAGAAAAATACAACCCAAAAGCTGAACATTTCCATCCGACCCCTTCTGGCCAGAGGTGGCCCATGATGTAGGACTTGGAGGCTCAGCTCTGGGACCCCACTTAGCCGAGGCTCCAGAACACACTAGGCTGGGGTCCTCTGGTCTCAAATGGGGAAATGTAGCCCCATTGAGAGTTAACAATGGAAAATCTCTGGAATACGGGATCCCAAATAAACACAGCCACTCAGTCTTGTCAGGGTTGAGCCTGAGTCTGTTCGTGACCCACCCAGCTTTCTGACACTGGGCTAGAACTTGGACAGCATTGCTCGATATGTGGGAATGACCTTGGGAGGCAGGAGGGAGAGCCCCAGACTGGACAACGGCATGTAAAAGATGTCTCAGCCCACAGAAGGAGAGAAGGCCTAGGAAACCTTCACAAGGGACCCTCCCTAGTTTTCTGGAGAGTAAAAGGAAAGGAGGGAAGAAATACTTCCAGTTTTGCATGATTCTGTTAATGTAACCTCTATTAAAGGTAGAGGTAGTACTCCTGGCTGTGGTTCTTGTCTCGACTACCTTGCAGGGCTAAAACCTGGCCGGCCCAGAGTCAAGGTGTATACCGATGGCACCTTACCCCAAACTGATAGATGACCTCACATAACTTGTAGCTGTTAAACAGAAGGGGACCCCACAAATAAGGGGCCACAGTCACAATCTCTCCCCACCCATCAACATTGATTGAAACCAGCCATAGAAAAAGAAGAACCACCACAAAACGGTGCCACCTCTCCCAACCCCCAAAGCTGGTTCAAGAGGATATCACAGTCAACAGTATCAAAAGCTGCTGAGAGATCAAGGAGCACTGAAATGGATACACCACCCCTGCCTCAGCTCCAACCAGAGACTGTTGGGGTCTCTGTAGTAAACCCTGGCTCCCCCTCTTGCATCCTTTATAGTACCTGCTCCGTTCCCATGTCTGTTTTCACCCAGCCAGGGTGGATCAGAGTAGACAAGATCCCCTCCTCTTTTAGTTCCAAAGCGAAGCATGCAGTCACCATGTTCAAAGCAGCCTGCAAAGAAAACTGAACTTTTAACATCAGCCCCTCATCCTTTTCTTTCTTTTGAAACATCTCTTTCTCTGGTGCCCTGATCCAATCACCAGCTGCAGCTACCAAAGTATGGACATAATTTAAAGCCAGGAGAAGCAGTTTCATACCTTTCAGATATTCTGGACTATAACTCCCTAAACTCTGGAGGGCAGGGTTTATGTGAATTGTAATCCCAAAGACCTAGAGGTGCTTAAAAGGTCAAAGGATTAAAAGGTGCAGATGTGAAAGGCTTGAAGGAGAGAGGGACAAAGACTTAAACAACATAGGACCAGGGTGATCTGCAGTGGAATCAAAAAAGTCAAGGTGGTACTTATGCTAACAGAGCTCTGACCCTTTTTTACATGCATCACATGTGGAACACATTTTAAAAAAGGTTGGTCGTTGATTGCAAATACATGGGCACCATCTGTCTATTTTACTCTCACCCAGATGTTCCCAATAGGGGCCAAGATCTGATAGACGGGACACATAGGTATGTTCTGCTGTCCCACCAGGTAATTCTTCTGAAGGAAAAGAATGTCTTGACCCCTCCAAGGAAAACGTACCTTGCTTGCACGATAAGGGTACATCGGTCCCTTCATGACCTCAAAGCCCCGTCCGATGGAGGCCAACTTGGAGGTTAGATTGATGATGGCTGCCCTCTGGCAGCTCATCTCCTTTGTGGCTGACTCTTGAGCGGCTTTCTTCAGCAGGGGCAGAAATGCCTGAAATAAGGAATAATTCATGAAATGAGGGCATGATGGCCCAGGAACTGATGGGCTAGTATCAGGATCACTTTATCTCCTAGACATTTACCCATTGCTTCAGTTAATTAAAGCTACCTTTGCTTCTGATTTTCTTTGGTCTCAGCAGCCCCATTCTTTCTTATTAGTTTCTTTCGCATCTCCTTGGTCACACTTCCATGGTTCATCTCAAGTCCAGCTGGTATTTCCAGCAATCTTCACACATTTCTGTGCTCACTGAGCCTACGTCAGTTTTAATTCTGGAACCTGTACATGTTATATAGCACCTGTCCCTACATTAAGGCTGGGAATCAAGGGTCCACCAGACATCGCTAAATAACAATTCCAGCCACCCACATGGTCAGTGGTAATGAACATTGGGAGCTGTGGTCCAGCACCTCCTAGAGAGCCATAGGTTTTCCAGTGTTGGCTTAATCTACCATATGTTACAATATATAAGGCCAAATGTTCATACCCTTGTTTCTTTCCCAGAGAGAAGACAATGATTCTCTTACCTTAACCACTAGGATGGGCCCTACTACATTGGTGTTGAAAGCAGATAGCATCTCTTGTTGTTCCACAGTTTCCAGCGTGGCATAGGAGTTCACGCCAGCATTGTTGATCAGCAGATTTAGGCCTTTACCATGCAGAAGTGATCCAACCATTGACGCAGCTGCCTTCACACTGGATTGATCCTCCACCTCTTCCATGAAGATGTGAGAGAAAATGAGACCTTTATCAGAGAAGCCAAAAGCTGGTGTGGGGTCTAGAGGATGGTGGGTCACCATATGGGAAGGAACCAAATTTCAAGGAGCCCTAGCTACTGCCTACATGACATTTTGTACTGAGAGACAAACTTTTTAAAGCTAAAATACACATACGGCACTGTCAAATTGTCCACAGTCCATGTGGATTTCCCAATGGATTTTAAAAAGACTGAGACCAAATTGGAACGGAAAAGAAATGGAAAGCTCTCATACCTAGTTGAATGACATGAATGTTGGAATGCTTGCTAGCCAGATCATTCAGGGTCTGGAATTAAAGAGAATAAGTCAGGACAAGAGAAGGGGATCAAAGAAATGATGGAAAACATTTGTTTTCGATACTTGGGTCCTATGGAACTTTTTCCCAAGCAATTCCAATTGCTCTTTGATCGTTTTTACTTCACCAGGACTGTATTTCCTTTTTTTAAAAAAATAATTTTTATTAAAGAAGTTTTCAGCAGAATAAAAACTATGCAAATTTTGAATTGGAGATAAGAAGAATAGGGGAAAGTAATAAGAAAGTGAAAAAGAAATAAAGAAAAAGAAATAGAAAAGAAAGAAAAAGGAAAAAGTAGAAAAGAAGTGGCTTCTGATCTTATTAATTTATATTTTACCCTCTCTCTAAGGTTACATCATAATTTCCTTCTTTCCATAATCTACCCTTTCTAATCATCAAATCCATAAATCAGTGGTTCATTTTTTTTCTTTTTTCATCAAAAAGTCCATAAGGGGTTTCCAGTCCCTAATTAATGTTGTACGTGAAACCAGGACTGTATTTCTGAAAGCAGTTCATTCTCAATGCCTACTAGTTGTGCAAAAACAATTTAATCAAGGTTTTCTCTTTCTCTTCCTATTCTATATTTCATGCCAATAAATGTGTGCTGATGTGATTTTAAAACGTGTCAACGCAGGCAGGTGTTTAAGGGTGGCGAAACTTCTCACTTTGTTTTTTTTTTATAACAATTTTTTATTAGAGTTTAATATCTTAACTTATCTTAAAACACCAAGATAAAATCTAATACAAACTAAGAAAAATATAAAAAAATAAAAAATAAAAAGTGCAGAGAAAAAGAAAAAAAGATACATAAAGAAATGACTTCCCCTTCACCAAGACAAGTACAATTTCAATAACTTATCACCTTCTGTGACATTTCAACAAAAGATCTCTTCTTCCCATATCTCATTCCTTGTCTATAAACAAATTATAAACCCTCCTCATTCAGTCCTAATCAGCAAAAGTCCATTAAGAGTTACCAGAAATAACAACATATGTATTTTAACCCTAATCAGATAAATCAGTTTCATACTCCTTTCCTTTCGACACAGTAACTTATCACTTTCTCTGATAATAAAACGAATCTTCTCAATTTGTTTTCAGGATCATGTCCCCCTTCAGGGTAGCCTATGGCTGGGAGCCGTATGGGATTCCTTGTTTTTTCTGACCCCAGAGTGCCCTGAGATCATCTTTTCTCATGCTTTCCCATCATTTCAAGATGGGGAACACAGCAGAAGGCACCGCTTCAGTACCACATGAGCAAGTTTTTCTCTCCCCAAGCACTGGATTTGACTTCATCTCCTGTGCATCATTGCCTTGTCCTGAGTGACCCTTGACCCCCCCACCCCATCCCACTTCTGAGCCACCAAAAGGTTACGTACCCTGATTTACAGCTGTCATTTAGCTTACTGTTTTGCTCTTTCAATCTCCTCTGGCAGATGATGACATCTGTTCCACAGTAGATGCCAGCAAGAAGGATTTTCCCAAACGTGTTGACTTACCTGTAGAGTTCCCTCTTTAGGGAGGCCCATCCAAATGTTATGTTTTCAGAACTAGGTGGATGCCTTAGATGCCCCTGGGCACCTAAGACATTTTCTTTTTCTCTGTTATCTGACTTCTCTGGAGTGAGCACTTATCTCTGGAGGTTCCGCTCTCTTCTGTAGCTTTCCTCCTGCAGCAACACTAAGATAACTGCAGGAGCGAGAGAAGCCACCTGTGTCACCCACACCAAGAACTTAAAGGGAACCTGCTTTGATGGCTACGGAGTTCCTTCTCCCAGATACTCCCTGCTCTTCAATCACAAGGACTTTCTACAAACCTTCCCTTTGGGTCCAGCAGGGGCCCGGCAAGTTGCAAAGATATGCTCTGGAGGATCAGCCATCTCCACCAGCTGTTGAATCAGTTCCAGTCCAATTCCCCGATTGGAACCTGTCACTAGTATACTGCAAGCTAAAGGAGCCATCTTTGCACTGTACTCTTACTTTTTGTACTGGCTGGACTTTGTTCCATGATTTGGTAAATATAGCGTTAGGACTCAGGAAAGAGGTGTGTCTCCTTCTGACACAATCTCTTCATTTGCCCTGGGGCTATGGCACCTGTTCCTTTCCCTGGGAAGAGCAGATCTTGATGCATTGTTTCTGTGACATATCGTTGGATGGGTCTCTCAAGAGCACAGCGGGAAGAACAACTAGGGAAAATAGGCCCTCCGTGTTTTTGGCCAGTCCTTGACACTTGCATTTAAGGTGTCAAAGACTGTAGGCTAGGGAAAAGCATCTCCAAGGGTCAACTGAGATGTGAAGGCACTTGTGCTTCCTCCTGCCCACTACCCACCCAATTTGACATACTTTATGATGCTTCTAAACCTGCCACCTTAGATATGGATCCAAAAACTACTGTAAAACTAAATCAGGAAGAAGTGGCTTTAGGCATCAAAATGTTGGTCTCACTCCCAGCTTCCCAGGCAATGTGAAACTTTGCAGTAATTGGGTTCTTTTCCCTTGTTTGCTGCTGGAAAGGGAAGGGAGAGGGGGAAGGGTGGAGGAATGTCCCTTCCCCACCATTTATCTATGTCCTCTTACTAGGATGGCTGGGACTTGCTGAGATGCACAGACATAAATGTTATACTGCTTCTATGTAGAACATCAGTGCCATTTCAGTTGCTCCTTCCAGCAGAAACCTGGAAGATCAGGAGTGCTAGCAAGGAACCAGAAGGAAACAACCACCCCTACTTTTCCTGCTGTCCTTCTGTTTACCTTTGCTTCCACTTCAAAGCTGTTTGTTTTGCCAATCCTGCTTTGCTTGACTTTGACCCAATCCATATTCCTGTACAGGCTGCATTTGGGGAGATTTTCTACAGCAGAGCATATATCCCTCCCTATTTAAGTCAAGAACAAAAGGCAGGGAGTGGGGGAGAGAAATCACTTTCTGTTTTTAAAGAGAGAGCTGTTGATTCCTCTATGAATTAAAAATGAAGGAGGGAGTGGGTATTGGGGCAGGTGGCACTGGGAGGTCAGAGAAGCTTGTGACCATATCAGGAGAAAGCACAGTGAAGGAACTAGAAAGGGTTGAAAAAGAGAGAGAGAGAGAGAGAGAGAGAAGAAAAAAAGGCAGAGAGAAGGACTGGAGTGGAGAGCAAGTGAGAATCGCAGTGGCAGATGAGTGAGGAAAGTTGGATCTTGGAGTCAAGGGGTGTCACAGGCCATATCCAACATCCACGTGGCCCAAAGGCTGTCCTTTTTGCATTCTGGTTTTCTCTGGTGCTTAGTTCCCATTGCACATTCCTGCAGCAAAAGAAAGGTGAGGAAGGGACTGAGCGTTCTGCCCCGCTATTTCTCATCCTATGGTTAAATTGTCAAGGACAGAAGTCCATTTCCTGCCCACTGTAGAAAGCCTCTGTCTAACTGTTTGTGCCATGGATCCCAACAGCTTGGAAAAGAAAACCAAGAGAGGAATGAACCAGTCTTTGCCCTCCACAAATAAACAGCAACAGCATCCAGGGCAAGTGGGTACGCGCGCGGGAGAGAACCTTCCTATACATGGCACTTGGGACGAAAAGGTTGTGGCAAGATTTTCTGTGACCATGGTGCGTTTATTGATGACAAAGGCAGTGAAGCCGTCACGTTGCGTTTAGGAGCAGGAGAAACCAGAGGGAAGTTCTCTTCTTCCAGTTCACAAAGGTCTGGCACTTCTCCCCAGCAAGAAGGTCAAAGATGCTTGTTGTGTTCACCAGGCCACTTCGTTCCCCTCCCAGTCCAGAAAGGCGCCAGACGATGATGACTTTAAATTAGCAATGACTTTCAGCATACCCTCGACGCTGTTCTGCACCATCAGAGGGGCCTGCAGGGGAAGAAGAGGCTGGATTATGGTCCCGCAAGTGCAGAGCTCTAAGTTCTGAATGGGCTCGTTCTAAAGACAGGCCTTGAGTCTGCAATCTGGGCACACACACACAGCACATTAGCAAAACAGACCGGCCCAAAATATAGCAAGGCTGGAGTACCATATTTCAAAGTCAGCAAAGAACACACAGGATCTTCTGAAGAGCAGCTCCATCAAAGAGCAGCTCTGGAACCTCAAAGGGATCCTCTGGCAGTCTTTCCTTTCTGAGAAATGTTTTTAAAAGGTGGCCCTCATTTATACACTATCCATCACACTAGTGAGAGCATCTGGTCAGTCTTGGCTGCTTTTGAAAAAGCTATATACCTGGTTAGTGTATGGACTACAGACTAGACTGGACATTTTAAAAAAAATCTCAGAAGGCAATAGCAAAATATTTGCATACCATGGCCGATAGAATAATACAGATCTGCCTATCTAATCACCAGGAGTCAAACTCAACTTGAAGGAGATGTCAGCTAACACAAGATCATCCACCAGGAGTCCATGATTCCATCCAGTCAGCCACAGAAAATTCATTTTCCTGTCAATCATAGGATCAATGGCAAAGGGAGAGGTGCAGACAACTCTAGGATAGACTCGTGACCAAGTTCCACCATCTCCATGCCTATCTCTACAATTTGAACTTCCTCATATTAGGAATTCTCACCAATGGAAGGCAAAAGGGTAAACTTGAGTCTAGACTGCCACAACTCTAGAGTGGGCAAAGAGAAAGAGAGACGCCTTCACTGTAACACCTGGGTGGAAAATGAAGGGGTAGATTGCTGTAGGTTGTCCTCCCCCTATAGTCCACCCATCTTCCCTCCCCATTTCTTATATTCTTTTTCTTTCTGGTGGCTTTCTTCACAGAAGAGTTCTTCATGGCTCATACAGCCATGAGTCACTAAATTAACATTATGTGCTTGTTGACCTGACACGCTGAAGTGTAAAGCTCATTGGCTGGGGTCCTGTTACATACTAGGTTCAAGTATGGTTGGTTTACAGACAGTCCTCACTTAAAGACCACAATAGGGACCAGAAAACTGGTTGTTAAGCAAAGCAGTTGTTAAGCAAATTGGACCCAATTTTACAAACTTTTTTGCGGCGATCATTAAGCGAATCGCTGTAGTCATTAAGTGAATCACACAGTCATTAAGCGAATCATGCAGTTCCCCGTTGATTTTGCTTGCCGGAAGGTTGCAAATGGCAGTCACGTGACCCCAGGACACTGCAACTGTCGTAAGTGTGAGCTGATTGCCAAACACCCAGATCGCAATCACATGACTGCGGGGATGCTGGGGCAATCATAACTTCAGGCACCACAACTGGTCACTTTTTTAGCACTGTTGTAACTTCAAATAGTCACTAAACAAATGGCTGTTAAGTGAGGACTACCTGTAATGGGTCGTGGGAGTATTGTCAATGGGTTCAGATTCATAGCTTTAGGAAACCTCCATCGGAAATAACCCTAACTATGAGATTGATTCTTCACGGTGCATTCCTTCCGTTGTGCTTGCATTACTTGAAGTGGAATCAGTTATCACTTTATCAGATTTTTTTGAGAATATACATATTCCCTGCCCCGTTATAGTACCTCTTCTGATCCCACGTCTGTTTTCACCCATCCAGGATGGATCAAAGCACATAAAATTCCATCTTTTTTCAGTTCCACTGCAAGGCAGGCCATGATCATGTTCAGAGCTGCCTACAAAAGAAAGCCATTTTTTAACAAGTCTTTCCCCTGCGGGGCACACAACTTCTGAACCTTTGGTCCCAGGGCCAGTTTCAAGTGGCAGAGACTTTACATTGATCGAAGGCTACTGGAAGCAGAGATTGGCAGGCAGGATGGCTGGAGATGTTCTGGACTGTCCCATTGGTTACGCTCAGAATAACAGAATTTCTGAGTTACCTTGCTTGCGCGGTATGCATACAATGGAGGAACTGGGGTTATTGTGGTAGTAAAACCCTGTCCGATGGAGCCAATGAACGAAGAGATGTTGATGACAACTGCTTTGTTGCCTCCCAAGTCTTTGCTTGCAGTCTCCTTGGCAGCCTTTTTCAGCAGAGGCAAGAATTCCTAAAATGCATATGAGACAGCAGACCAGAATGTAAATTTTCTGTTCTTCCTGGGCCCCATCCAGATCTATTCTCACTGGCTTCTTTTATTACCCCAGTGATGCCTTTCTCTTGGTGCCACCTCTGATCCCATTGGCTGATGGTTAACCTTACTGGCATGTTTAGTAGCTGCTGATTACTCCGTATCAGTGATAAGAGATAAAACTCTATTTCTTTTCGTGGTTGATTGCCTCCCATTGCCTTCACTCCTAACTAAATACTATTCAGTCCTTCCGTCCCAAGGTGACCTTGCCAATAACTTGGCCCTCTCCACTTCTTAATTCCACAGAACACTACCCCTAACCCTAACTCTACACATCATGTCTGCAGAGAACTTTCTCCCATACGCATTGCTGTAAGGAAACAATTCCAAAGAAATTTAAATGTTCTGTATATGAGCCTAAACTTTCTTATCTACTGATCATCAAACAGAGAGAAGATAAGGATACTCTTTGTTGTTCTTGTTATGGTCCAAGTGAATCCTGATTCCTGATGATTAGAAGGGCAAGTCCCTGCAATTTTCTGGGTAATATTTTCAGAAATGGTTTGCCCAGAGTCGCACAGCCAGCTTCCATGCCTAAGGCTGGATTAGACCTCATGGTCTCTTAGCTTCTAATCCAGCACCCTAACCCCTAAACTACACCTACTTTGACAATAAGGAGGGGTCCCACTGTATTGGTGTTGTAGGTCAAAAGCATATCTTGCTGATCCACATCTTCCAGAAATGGGGTTTGGGAATTTCTGCCTGCATTGTTGATTAGCAGATTCAGCCCCTGACCCTTCAGATGGGATTCCACTACTGACACGGCTGCCTTCACACTGGAATGGTCTGTCACATCTACCATGCACAGAAGAAAGCAAATAGGATAGATATGAATAGGACAATCTGGTTCCTAGTTTGATGGGTGCAGGCAAACTGTAATGATATGTGGAAATGACCTTAGGAGACAGGAGGAACAGCCGCAGCCTAGTCAATGGTGTGATATACAAAATCTGAGTCCGAAGGAGGAGGGGTGGCGAAAGCGTCTCAGAAGGGACCCTCCCTAGTTTTCAGGAGAGTAAAAGTGAGGGATGGGAGAGGTACTTTCAAACTTGGAAGACTGATGTTAGCCTTGTGAGGTGGTCCAGACAAGAAGAACAACCAGGAGTACTAGCTCTATCTATACGGTAAGGTTACATTAACAGAATCTTGCAAGTCTGAAAGTACCCCCTCCTCCCTTTGGACTCAAATTCCCTCCTCCTTCGGACTCAAATTTTGTTTATCACACTGTTGTTAGTCTGCAGCTCTTCCTCCTAAGGTCATTCCCACATACCATTACGCAAATAAGCAATACTATTCTTTACACACAGTCTCCCTGATAGTTCTGACTAGATTTGGTACTTTTGACAATCAGATCCTTCCAAATGATCTAGAATAGCTATAGATAAAGATATATGTACTATTCCTAGTAATGTGTTTTTTGTAGCTGGTATTTTGAGATTTCGATTGTATCAAGTACTTTTCCGTATCTTTTGATATTGAGGGCACCATCTACTCTTGGCACCACCAAACTTTCTTTTTCCACATTTGCTCGACATTATTATTATTGTTATTATTTACTATTATTATTCACATGCCTTTACATCCCTAGCTTCTATTTTCCATTTTGAAAATGCTCCTTATATTTATTAAAACAACACACATAGAACTCTCAAATTTTATTTACTTTACCAAGTTTCCCCAAAGTAAAGAAAAAAATAGTTATCTAGAGAAAGAACTGTAATTTCTGAGAAAACAGACAGATTACAAATACTGCAGATGTTATGCCAGTGTTTTCATTATTTTATTATGGAACCACAAAAAAATGTTTAAGTTATTTAAGTGGAATTAACATAGATATTCCTCTTGGAATATATACCCAAGTAATACTCATTTTCACATTTATTCTTCCCATATACTCATAGGTATTTTCAACCATGTAATAATGTCTTCACTAATCTTTCTGTGTAATCTGACCTGAAATACTCAAGTGTAACAAAAGGGACACATTTCCAGGCATAACCATCTCCCAAATATGTAACCGAACCTGAGGAAAAGACACCACTCATTTTTTTCACATTTCCTAAGAAATCTAACTGACTACTGTGAAAATTTAAGATAATGCTGTCATTTTTAATAGTTTTTTTTTAAATTAACTAAATGCAGAAACCAAAGAAAAGGAGTACACAAAATTATAGGTTGGGAAAAAAAAAGAAACTAAAACATAAAGACGTATATTTACAGGCATACATATATCAATACATTGATGCCATGATTCATTACAGTCATCCATAGCTGATCTTTATTCATCAGTTCTGCAAATCAGTGAATAGTTGAAGCCCTGTGGTTGTTACATAAGCTAGTGCTATCACTGAACATTAAGTACTATTTGTATGTTGGATTTTAACCCTATATTTCAGCATTGTCGAAACTTGCTTAGAGCCTTTGGGAATTTGGCAGCATAGAAGCCTTTCTAAGTACATAAGTAAATTAATAAATCAAATACTTGATTTATTCCAATTTATTGAATACCCATATGTACCATATTGCTGTATAACTACCACACATTTCAGTAAAGAGCTTTTTATCACTGTTTAAAGGGCCCATAATATTGTCTGAATATATAATGTGTATTCTGTTCCTACCACCTGGGTACCATGAATGTCACAAGATTCTCTAATAATAGAAGCCAATGAGTTTAATACCAAATTAAATTTAGGAACAGGTAAGGGACATCCTTCATGAGTCGCATGGTACTTCAAAGAGCATGGGGGGAAACAGTCCCATTACTAATGACTCAAGCAGAAGTGGAATAATAAATTTTAAGCTAAGAAATAAAGTTTGATGGGCATCCATTGTTTTTATAACTTGTTCCAAAAATTTAATTCGTATCATATCATGGACCTTTTTTGCATCCAGCGAGTCCACTCCCACCATTTAGTAAGAAGACTATATTGCTAAAATATCTATGAATAACCTCATATTATCCTTTTGCAAAGAAAGATTGAACAGGATGAATTATCTGCAACCTTCAAGATAGCTGTTGAAATCTTAGCAGCTTTGTTTCATAAAGGTGTCAGGTGGTTGCTTGCAAAATGTGTAAGGTTCTTTCTCATTTTCAAAGCAACCATTATATAAATCTCATAAAATGGTAACAGGATAGCCCCATTCCCAGAGGTCTGTCTCTATATCTCTAACAATATGCAGGTCAAGTTCTCATCTACTTTTTGTACTATGGAAGCCCATCAGAACCAAGAGCCTTCATAAAGTCAACTATCATGACCTCTGTCCTGCAAGGTTATATGCGACTAAACTCTAAACATGACCAATCTTAGGAAGATTTATTCCATTTAAAAACTATTCACCTGCTCAACTGATATCACCACATTTGTACTAAAGAAACAAGTATACAAATCCAAAAACTGAGAATTAATTGCACTTGAATTTTTATATATTGTCCCCATGGAATCTATGGTTATAGATATGATATTATGTTGTTTCAATCATTGCAGTCCGAAAGCTAACCGTTTGCCTGTTTTTTCTGAAATGTTAAGCTATAAGAAATGTGTTAAAATATCACAAAACTTTTTGTGGTTTTCACTGCAATAATTATCCGGACAGTAAAGATCTCATACCTAACTGAACCACGTGAACGTTGGGGTGTTTAGTAGCCAAATCCTGCAAAGCCTGCAATTGAGAAAGAAAATGTTAAGAAGAACAGGTTGAACGGGTAAGAGAAAAAAAAAGTGTTTTCCACAATCTCAATCCCTTTATAGCAGAATATCCCAATAGATTATTTTATCAGCAGTTATTACCAGTTTAGGACTGTATTTTTCATAACTAGAACGAGCTGGTTATATACACTTTTTTGTTTGTATTATCATGGCTGTATTGTTAAATTCAAATTTATTTGTATTATCATGGTGTGTGTTAAATTCATTTTGAAAAAAAAATCCAGTTTATTACTGGATGATGTTTAAATTAATTTTAAAGGAAGTTTAAATCTAGTTTAGTTCCCCACCTCCATCCTTTTTCACTGATTAAAGATATGCTTGAATGTATATCAAAGGACCATTTAAAACCTTCCATCTATAGGCACATGATCAATGGCCAGATGTCCTCTCTCACTTCTCCTCCCAGGCAGGAATGGGTGTTAGAACAATCTTGTCTGTAAACTGGAATTGGAAGGACTTGTGGAGAAGAATACTAGTGGTCTAGAACTCCACTGATACTTCCCTGTTGGGAGCTGGTGCACTCCATGCCGTTGGAGCATGGAACTTACAACCTGAACATCAGAACAGAGAGAATGCAGGACCATGCTCAGGTTATGCTACTTCTGAAGCTTCAAACCAGCAATCACTCCTTAGGCATAGAAATCCGATACTCTGGGACAGTTTGAATTTGCAAAAACTTAGACATCCACCCCCCCAGAAGCCCTTTGGTGCTGCCAATCATTTGAAAAGGGTTCCCTCAGGGCTCCAACAGGCCTCAGAAATGTGTTCTGGAGGAGCAATCATCTTTGTAATTCTTTAGTTAGAACCAGTCACCAGAAAGAAACTAATAATAAACTCCAATAAACTCTTTTGCTCACTCTTCTAATGACTGGACTTTACACAATGACTAAGTAAATATAAACTGGGAGGTTCAAGGAAAGGGTGTTCTTACTTTTTATGTTATGCTTGGGGCTCTGACATCTGAGTCTCCACCACAGAAAGACAGCTTCATTATCTACTTTTGTAAAGGGTTCCTGCCTCAGACTGGTAAAGTGAGGTTAGTTAGAAGCCAAACTGTGGCTTAGTATGTTGTGTGAATCAGCCCACAGGAGAGTCGGTCCTGGAATTCCAGGTGGGTCAGATCATCCAGTTTAAGTTCTGTGACTGCGCCTTTAGCTGCTCTTTCTAGAAGCCAGTTTTGGGCTTTGGCTTGGCCAAAAGGGGATACAGAGGGGCAAGTAAATTCCAGTGTGCATTCTAGTCCCTTGGAAAGTTTGAAAAGTCCAAAACTTCGAGGCAGTTCTATTATCAGGGTACTGCTGATCCAGAAAACTCACCTGGTTTACACCTCATGATAAACCATACTACGATGTTATACAGGTCTTAGTGTGAGATGTGAAACCACTCAGTATGTCTTAGCATGAGATCTGAACCCCAAGCCACATTGTATCATTCAAGAGACTGTGATTCAAAGCATCCTGGCTTGATATTTGGGTCAACTGTGCTTCATTGATGCCAACTGCGAAAGTCCACACCAGTATATTACCCCAACTCTTACCTTAATGATGTTTAATTAGTGTTGGCCTTCTACATACCTTTGCTTCAGATCCAGTCAGGTTTCTACAAGTTGCAAAAATATGGTTTGGAGGATGGTTCATTTTCACAAACTCTTTCACCAGACCGAGTCCAATTCCCCGGTTGCTGCCTGTCACCATGACGTTCTGAGCTATTTAAGTCATCCTGGCCCTTGACTTTTGCTCTTCAACACTGTTCACCTTTTTGCAGGTTGTGACATCTGCATCTCCAAATGAGAAGAGGTTACTAATATTATGCTAGACCAAAGAGGAGTCTTGTGGGAGTATAAGTACAGTATGTGTAGAAGAACATTAATTCTGTCATCCATACAGCTCTATATCCTATGCTTTGCATCTATAGGCTTCATTCTTGCGTGTACAAGGGTGTGTGTGCTGTTCCTCTCCAATGAATGTTAGAAAGCTAGACCAGGCCATGTCTAGGATAAGTTAAAGCTAAACCCAGGACTTATATGTGTCCTTATATATATACATATAATATTTCTACCATTTCTCACTGCTTGGGCCATGTAGTGAATGTGGATTAGGGATTTTCTGCAGTGTCACGAACACTAAGATTGGCTTTGCTATTCCTCAGCCAATAGGAACTATCATCCAGATATTTTCTCAGAAGCATATGGAATAATCCCAAGTACATTGTCCTGAACATCTGAGACCTGGGAAGAAGAATATTTTGCCCATTGGGATCTATGACAGATCTACACCCCCAAAGGTAGAATTAGCAGTTCCCATTACATAGCACTTCCCATCTCCTTCTTTCCCTGGCACTTGCTCTGTGCTTCTGTTCTCCACCTTCACCTGAAGTTACGCCTCAGGTTTCACACCTAGTCAAAAGCCATCTCAACAGCTGTAAGAGCAGAACTATAGTCTCTCCATTGGCTACATGACTATTATTACATCATCTCTCTGCTTCTACCGCGATTATTGAATACACTTTCACCCTCTTTGCCATTGTTGACTTCATTATCAAATGGAAGAATGCAACATTTGGACCCCTTTATGATTGCTGAACTGGATTTTGCAGCTGAGTTCACCCCCTGTGCTAAGCCATGGTATGTTTTAACAATGGTTTGTGGAATAAACTACAGTGGCCTGGTTCACAGACTATACTAAACCATAAACCCAGGTTTGAAAACTTCAGTGGCCAGGTTCACACAGCACATTACACCAGAGCCAAACCCAGCAGATTATAAATTAACACAATGTGTAAACGAAGTCTCCCTTGCTCTTCTAAGTCAGTCCAATGTCCCTTTATGGCTACAGAAGTTTTGCTACACCAGATTAAACAAATCTATTATTTTCTGACATACAAGTAGGGTAGGGATTATAAAATAGTTGCAACCTCACATTCCTGGATTAGGTAGGAATAGAAATTATCTAATTTTAAGCATCACCAGAAATTCATTTAATGCTGCTTTGGTTCTAACCGAAGCATTCTTGTTTTAAAAAATGTCCTTTTCCTCAGAATTATGCCAAAAGTTTTAAAAGCTGCAATCTATCCAAATCTTCCTCATGGTCCTGAGGCAATCTGATTCCTTTGATCCTATCTTCTAACCTCCAAAGTCCTTCTGCAGCTAGATTTACACAACATATTCCACGGTTTCCATCCCCTTTCCTTTTAAATCCAGCAACCCAAATATTCTTTGGATTCCACTCCAGGAGTTCTCTGACTTCTGCTGTTTCTCCATCCATCCTTCCCTTCTACAAATGGATGTTTTCAACCAACTGGATGGTTCCTTTTAAGAGCAACTAATTTCTTCTTCTACAGCTGTTGACCAACCCTTGACATGGACTGAAATATAAAATTGAGGAGCAATCTCTAATTCAGGACAATATGAGAAATAAATACCTAGGTGCTAGTACGTCAGCAAAAGAAATCTGCCATTGTGTCTTCCAGGAAAATAAGGACTGAATTCTCTGCTGTCATAGGTAAACAATAGAATAGCCCTTAATTACCCAAGGTACAATTGGGAACCTATAAGAATACAATATGGTCAGTGACAGTTGCCTACCAGAAAAAGAGCAAATGGAGATAAGTTATTGTTTAATTGCAATATTTTATTTAAAACAATCCAGAGGCGGATATGAACACCTAGAACATGGCCATATGACGTTAGTGAGCCACCTCTCTTGGCTTGTTAAATTCAGTATCTATTGATCCTATTGGAGGTTGGCTTCAGGTCTGCATGGCAAGAGAACTGGAGTAGATATTTTTATGAGTTTTCAGACTTGGAGGAGTTGGAATGTAAAGGCTGGATACAAGGGAAAGACTCCATCACCTGTGCTGAAATGAGATTCAACAGTGAGTCCAGGCAACTTCTGTACGTGGAAGTTGTGGGGAGAGGTCAAATGACCCAAGATTTTGATGTTCAGCACAATGTCTCTGGCCAAATAGAGGTCAAGGGTGAGGAATGAGAAGATGGTCTATGTATCTGCTAAGTCACAGCTGTCTTAACTACTATGATTTATTGAATCAGCTGTAATTGGCTGAGTTCAGTTACTACAAGCTGAAAAACTACAAGCCTAGGTTTGCACAATATGTAAAGACCAAGGCAAAGAAACCCCATGATGACTTAGGGAACTGTGTGAATGTGTGTTTCCATTTCTGTTTACATACCTTGTGGGTTATATGTTGCATGGGTGGACAAATGAAAAGAATCTCCCTTTGATCCGTCAATAAATATCTTCATTTCTTCCTCTATTCCACCACCCTTCTTTCTCCTAGTTGCAATAGTTTATCTTTTTATTAATTTCAAAGATGCTCTGATAATTTCTAGTTCTAATGGATGGTTTCTTGTTTGGCTGCATATCTTTTAGCTTTCAAGCAGGTGAACCTTTGACATTACATTCCTCACTTTTCCATGTTTTCATGTGTCGCTTCTGTTTGCAGCAGTTAGATCTCCTTTCCTATAGCCCATGGCAGAAAGATTTTATCTGATGGCACTAACATCTGATGCTTCTGTCCTAGTTTTTTGTTGTTTTTTTTGATCCCGTGAGTTCTGCAAGCTACTGTACAAACTAGTAATAGTTGTCTGATCAAATCACAGTTGATTCAAGTACCGGGTGTTATTTAAGAAAGGTATAAATCCACTGTATAATATCTCCCACTGCTTCCACATTTTTATCGTTATGGAGATGATGCTTTGGGGTTGTTGTTTTTTAAGGTAAACAAATCATATTTTGAAATGAAGGAAGGAAGAGGGATGTCTGTGGGGAAGGGGGTCAAAAAAGTCACGTTGGCAGCGATAACCATGCAGCCGAGGCCATGTCCTGACACACATAAGGAAGAACGGGGCTTCAATTGCATGTGGCTGCCATCTCGACTTTTTTGCCTTCCCTGTGGACATTCCTGAAAGAAGGAAGGTTGGTTGGTTTTAGTCACTATTATGATAAACATATACATCTATTCTATAAGATTTAGATGTTATAACATCTCCCTTCCCCATCTGCATCAGATAGATAGACAGGTGCTGTTTTGACTTTATAAGATACACAAATCATTTTTTTTTCCCAAGAAAGAAAGAATAAGAGCAGTCCATCAAGGAATATACTGCTATCACTTAGCCAAACAGCCATATTTCTAATTTTATGGTTGCCAAACTTCAAAAGGTCAATAATTGGACATGAAACTTTACGTTTTAGGCAAAAACCAACAGGCCAAGTCAAGGCAATCAAATAAATTAGTAGATCATTGGAAAGAATTTTTTCAGTATTAGAACCAGAAGTCTAGTTCTAGAACTCAGGACCTTCTGACTTGGGAAGCCCCTTGGTTCCACTATGGAAATGCCTACGATTGGGGGGACTGCAGGGTGTGGTCAAAAAAGTCAAGATGGTGGCCATGAGGGTACCATTGAAGCTCCACCCATTTTTATATAAATTGCACATAAAAAAAGGTGGAGCTTCAATCACACTGTGTGGGCCACCCTCTTGACTTTTTTGGCCAGCCTTTGGACATCCCTGCCTACAGTATATAGCTATTCAGGTCAGTTGGTTTATTTAGCTGATGATCTGGGGTTCAGATGTCTGTCCCACATCCTGGACTTGGAGATCCTTAGTCTTTTTGTATACAGCATGTTACTTCAGAAGAGTTTTATTTAAATATACATTAAATGTTTATCTGATCTCCAGAGCTGATTATTATCCTTCAGAGAATTACTACTGTTGCTTTTACCTGGATTTTTGTTCTTGTTTTATGCAATGGGTACTCTGTTTGTACAGCGCTTCAAGGGCCCTCGGTGAACCCCCCACCCCCCATGATAAATCCACATTCGCATTTCATGGAGCAGAATGTTTCAGGAAGACCAGTTTTATCTCATTATTTTTACTGACGTTGCAGAAAATACTTCAAACTCCACTAGATGCATGGTGCAGGGTCTCTTCCTTTGATATACTTTTTTTAAAGATGCATTCTGCTTGCAAAGAGTGCAAAATATTCAAAGGACTTATTTTCACATTAAAAAATAAAACAGAACTGTGGGCATGTTTAAGGCATTCTCCCTCCCCCAGCATACATTGTCCTATCCAATCAATCTCGAAGTATTAACTAGCCCAGTGTTTCTCAACCTTTTCAGCTTTAAGATGCGTGGACTTCAACTCCCAGGATTCCCCAGCCAGCCATGCTGGCTGGAGAATCCTGGGAGTTGAAGTCCACATATCTTAGAGTCCCCAACTGAGAAACACTGAACTAGCCCTTTCCTTCCACGCCTCCCGAGCCAGTCCCTTCCCTTAATGGCGGCCCCCTTGCTGCCTTCAAGCCCTTCCTGTGAGGCCACGTGACTCCAGTTTCGCAGCCATTGCATCAGCCGCGCTAAGTCCTCAATCTCAGCGTAATACTGTGGCAAGTCGACATGACTTGGACAATGTTAAGATGATAGACAAGGCTTTCGGCCAATAGCCACACACCTCTCAATATCTAGGCCAATAGGATGAGTGAGCTAAAAAAAGATCCGGATCTAGCTCGGTTGCGTAGCGAAAGCGCCGCCGCAGCTCCTGAAAGCGAGGTCCCGTGTTGAAGGACCGGCGAGAGAGGTGAGGTAAACTATTACGGCCGTTTGAATGAAAGGAAATAAAACGAATGTGTTTGTTCCACCTCAATATCCCCTGTCTGTTTTCCAGGAGCTCAAGGCGGCGTCCTCAGTGGTCCCCTCCCCCTCCAGTGTATCCGCACAACAACCCTGCAAGGTAGGCTGGGCGGAGAAAGCGTGTCTGAACCCCCAAGCGCTCAGTAAACGCTGTGGTGAGATTTCCGTTTGTCTGCAAGGTTGGAGATGGGGCTGCCTCTGCATTTTTGCCCCTTTGCTCAAGCTGTCTTCCTGCAGAGGATCTTAGGAGTCGGGCTCATGTTTCTGGCTGAGGGGTGTCAACTGCCTGAATACCCCATCGTGGTTTCCTGCTGTGACCTCTTGCAGGCCACCTGTTGGGACTGGGGGGGGGCGTATCTCCAGAGGTAGACCAGGCGGCCCTTGGGTTCATGGTGGCCAAGGTGAACTTGATTTATGGCCAAATGCGCCACAGCCATGGGCCGAAGTGGCACACCGTGTCTTGGGCTCCTCGCACGCCTCTTGACCTAAGTCATAACGTGGCTCCTTCTTGGCCTGTCCCGGGAGCTTAGCCATGATGGTTTGCAAGTTGCGGTTTAAGGGGTAGCATCTCTTGTGAGCCTCACCTTGGTGGCTCAGTATTTGGTATGTGATGGGGGAACAAATCCTCAGTTTTTGACTGACAATAATGTGTAAGGGGCCTTGGGTTTTGTCCTAAGTTTATTAGATAGAGAATTTTCTTTTATGCTTTTTAAAAAATTATTATTTTGGATTGTGAGACACCCAGAGTTATTTGTGAAGATGGGTGGACATCACCATTTCTTAAATAAATAAAAACATATCAGAGCCGGTAAGTCTTGAAGACTCAGTGGGACTTCTGGGGGGGTGGGGAACAGTGGTGGGAGAGGGGTTGGTCTCCATCTCCTGCTTTGTGAGCACCCCAGAGACATCTGGGTGGCACTGTGTGAAATGGAACACCAGACTAAGGTGCCCCTTGGCCTGGTGCAGAAGGACAGATCTGAAGTTCTGATGACCAGAGGATTATAACAGTCCTGAAGAATACTAGATTGTGGGAAATGTTCAGGTAACCCTTTGACCAGCTGGACATTTCTGTCCTTCTGCCAATTGATTTGGAAAGTCTGCATTTGTGTAAGCTGTTGGCAAACTGATTATCTGCATTGGCCTTCTGTGTGGAGAAGAGAGTCTTACCATACCTTTTTAACCTTTCCTCAGAAATTCAGAGGCTGCATTCACACAACACCCTTAACTTGGGGACTGGATTGATCCATTTCTGGGATTGCCTAATACACTGAATCATAAACTAATCAAAGCATTGCCTTCATGCAATACTGTATACTAAATTCCCCTCCAAAAAAACCCCCACAACACCCCTAACTCTTACCAGAGTTAAAGCTCACCATTGGTGGGAGAGAGATTGGTCCCCTTCTCCTGCTTTGTGGGCACCCCAGAGGCATCTGGGTGGCACTGTGCAAAATGAAATTGAATGTGCAGCTCCCCAGTCTTTAATTCATCTGGATAATCATTTTGAGCAAACCTAAGGAGTTGGTTGATAAGGTTTTCTTTTCTGCTCAACCTGAGGGTATCTACCAGCAATTTACATGTGATGGCAATCAGTGTTGGGTTAAGCTTGATCACAGGGCCAACAGCCATCAACACTCACATAATAAATTATGTTTCCATTCTGTACTTCCATGGTCCTGGAGTCAAGGCAGTTAGATTTTCTTTCTTGCCTTCCACTACCACCTTTATTTTTGCAACTAAATCACAGCCGAGGGAAGATAGCCACTCACCAAAGGTTGGGAGATGTGACTGTACATCTGTTCAAAGGGTTTCAGAGGTGGGTTTTGTAGTATGTTTTACCTGACTTGTTTGCTGTCTTTGAGGACTGGAGAGTCCTTTTTTGTGTGATGAGTTAAGTTATTTTGAGACAATTTCCTTCAGACTGAAAAGGAGGACTACTTGAAGGCATCTGGAGCTACATTTGATCTGCAAGTGATAGATCTTTTGGTTACTGCTGGAGATCTAGCTTGGACAGACCACTATTTTTTGATTGCCTCTTGCAGGGCACAGCAAGAGAATTGGGTCTCTTTTCTCTGTTGTTTCTTCCCTGAAACCTGCTGCATTCTTCTCTCATTCACCATCTTTCAGTTTGGAGGAGAATCAGATGGATTCTTTACTTGCAAGTGGGCTTAAAGAGAAGCTAGTAAGGTTTGTGGGAAGGTTGTTGCATGTCCTTTTTTTTCACCTTTTGCCACAAGACCAGTCTCTGGATGTTCTATACCAGGGTTCCTCAACCTTGGTGACTTGAAGATGTGTGGACTTCAACTCCCAGCATGCTGGCTGGGG